GCCCACCCCGACCACGGCAGCTCTAAAATACTCTCCTCTAACGCCTCACTACGCCTGAAAGGACCACTTTCCCCGTGGGGAAGACAAATACAGCATTTTGCTATTGTAGAGGGAATGCCATTTTGGTCCTAATTTGTGTTCGGATGGAAATGAGATTGCTGATGAAAAGTTATGGCTGTTCTACGCTTCATTCCCTCTCTGAGAGGGGAAACTTTCCCACCTGAGACATGGCCCAGGGAGGTATTATCAAGGTGACATTCTCATAGACGTGGGGCAAAAGACAGTCGGTCTTTTCTGTATGAGCATAGCTTTGCTTAAACATGACTATAATTAAATACATCAAAACTAAAATACTGAGTCTTAGAAGGGAGTTCAAAGAATGACTTTCACCTGATGCTCTTCCTGTGGGTCCCCTCGGTCTGAAGGGTGCCGAGTCTAATTGCCGAGTTGGAAACTGCTGGAGACCCAGCGAACCAACTGTAAAACCTGCCGAACACGCACCAAGTCCCGATCCTTGGAATTGAAGTTATCTTTTCAAACGGGAGGACAGTATGTTTTATCCATTGCATTTTTTTCTAGTAAATATACATATGTAGCTTCCATAATTTTATTTTAAACTAAAGTAAATATTTATAATGTTTTATAGTCTCTAAAACACATGTTGATGTGTCACCTGGGTAACCTCACAGACACCTTTTGAAGCAGGTGTAAATATGAGTCCTTGCCCAGCCGGTGTGGTTCAGTGGTTGAGCGTTGACCCTGCACCAAGAGGTCGCCGGTTCGATTCCCGGTCAGGGCACATGCCCAGGTTGTGGGCCTGATCCCCAGTGGGGGGCACGCAGGAGGCGGCCAGTCGATGTTCTCTCTCATCAATGTTTGTTTTTTTTGTTTTTTTATCCTCACCCGAGGATATTTTTCCATTTTTTGTACAGGTAGAGTGGGAGGGAGAGAGAAGAAGGGAGAGAGAAGAAGGGAGAGAGAGAGAGAAACATCGACTTGAAGGGACACATCGAGTGGCTGCCACCCGCACGACCAACCAGGGCCGGGGACCGAAGTACGTGCCCTTAGTGGGAACCGAACCTGGGTCTCTCCAGACCGCAGGCCGACGCTCTAACCGCTGAGCCAAACTGGCCAGGGCTCTCATCGATGTTTCTATCTCTTGCTCCTTCTTCCTTCCTCTCTCTCTAAAATCTATTTAAAATATTTTTTAATTACGAGCCCTCAAAGACAGATGAGAAAAGTGAGTCTCGATCAGCTCAAGCTCCTGGTCTGAGGGTTCCAAGCCGCTCGGGCTCACGGCCGGGCTGCAAGCCGATTTCAGACTCTAAGGTCGGAGGTCTTCCCCCACCCGGCTCTTCTGCCCGCCCGCCGGCGTATCTCCTGTGCAGGTATTGTCCTGGCACCACGGCCCGGTCACAGGCGAGCAGACAGTGGTTACCAATGGCCTGCTTTCTTTTCCACAAATCTGGCCGAATTCCACTCCATAGTACGTGTGTGATTCAGGGGAGGCACAGGGCCCGCTGGTACCGGAGTCCCCGTGGCCTGGAGTGGGAAGCGGGCTGCCGGTGCTGGATTCCAGCCCCTCCGCCCCGTGCAGCCCTGGGCCAGCGTCTGGGTGTCCTCGTCCGCGTCAAGGGCAGACAGTGTCTCCTCATAGGGTTGTGACGGTAACTAAATGGTGTAATACATAACAGGCACCTATAACAAAATAAAGACTTATTAAGAACCAAATAAATCCTGATTAATATTATTTGGAAGGACAGAGATTTGTGGTGACTATCGTATGCAAATAACTGTTTAAAATGGGTACATCTCTGCCACCAGAGAGGTGTGCCGTGCAACAGGCCTTAACCAGGCACCCTTAGGGGCGACGGCCACAGCGGGGCGCTGTATGAGGAGGCCGGTGGGGGAAGGTTCTAAGAGGTAGGACAGGCAGATGCGCTTAGGTTCCCAAAAAAGAGAGGACTAAACTAATGCATTGAATGCAATGATTGCTTAAAGCAGCATTTTTTTTTAATTCAATTAATTAATTTATTTTTGTTACGGATGTTTCTCCTTTCCCCCCCACTGATTCCCCCCCCCTCCCTCCCCACCCTGTCCCCAGCTTTGTTGTCCATGTCCATTGTTCATGCACACATGCATATAAGTTCTGTGGTTTATCTCTCCCCCACCACCCCCTCTTCTGGGGATTGTCAGTCTGTACCCCACTTCCACGTCTCTGGACTACCTCATTCCTCAGACTGTTATGTTTATTATATTCCACAAATAAGTGAGATCATATGATATTTGTCTTTCTCTGTTTGACTTGTTTCGCTTAGGATAATACTTTCCAGGACCCTCCATGTCGTCTCAAAGGATAAGAGATCTTTCTTTCTTATGGCTGCATAGTACTCCATTGTGTATGTGTACCACAGCTAAAGCAACAATTTTTAACCTTTTTTATCTCATGGCCCACATAAACTAATTACCAAAATTCTGTGGCACACCGAACAACATATTATGTATGTTTTGATGATCTGATCCAAAAAAAAAAAAGGTATCATTTTGATTGATTCACACCGGACAGCTATTGTTGGGTTGGCCGTTGTCATTTCTTTGACAACCTAAGGGAAAACAGGCCAGCGCCCTGGCTACATAGCCAGGTATTGCATGTTTGAAACATTCTTGCAGCTCATCCGTTGAAAACTGCTGGTTTAGAGCAACATGGCCACGGGTGTCAAGCTTCAGAAACGGGCCTCAGACCACGGCTTCTGGGCTCCCCAGCTCCCCAGTCCACAGAAGCGCCTGAGTGGAATAGCCGACTTCCTCAGCCAGCTCCTGGGTGGTGACACCATCAGGGTTCAGGACATCGAGTGTAGCATCGTTCCTGCCCCGGAGCCGAAACCTTCCAAGGTTGCCGTCTGCCCTGCCCGTCAGCTCTGCCTTCCCCGGAGCGTCCTGGAAGTCACCTAGCTCCGTAGGGATCCCTTTTTCCTTCCCTTCCCCTTCTCTTGCCCATCCGCGTATTTTTTCTTTCAATCAAATGACATTTCATGAAGGATAACTAAGACATGTCAGATCGTTTTGTGCAAATGCAAAATGCCCTGCGATTTAAGGATGACTACACACGACATAAAAATCAAACCAACACAACGTCACTATCGCTTACTCGCCGCGTGAACTGGCTGGCTCAATCTCAAAATTAACGATTTCAGACACGTCAATTTAATCAAGCCTCAGCCCCTCCAGCTTGACACTGCTGTTTTGTAGCGACGTAAACAATGACACAGAAGTGATTTGCCTGATAGAAGCCATGAGTCAGCGGTTGAGTCGGTGCAAGGGCTCCAACACTTGACCTCTGGCTGGATCTGCAGCCCACAGGTAACCTCCAACCTGCTTGAGACTCAGACCTTCTGCTACACACTCAGGTACTCAGAAGGCTGCCCTCGGGGCTGTAGAGCCGGGCAACAGAAAAGGCCTGTAACCACATGTCAATCGCCAGGGAAGTCCTCCAGCCCTGAGGACGGTGACTTTGTCCTTTAAAAATGTCCAAAGCAATTAAAGTAATCAAAACAAGCCGCAAACAAAAGATAACACACAGTATGATTCCATGTTTATGAGTCTAGAAAAACAAAACATATTTACAGTGACAGAGAGCAGATCAGTGGTTGCCCAGGACCAGAGGATGGGGGGGTGACTGGAAAGGAGCAAAGGAAGCTTCTGGGGTGATGGAAAGGTCTCGATTGTACCAATACAGACACATGGAGTATACCTTTGTCGTAACTCACTGAACTATATACATAAAATCGGTATAGAGGCCTATTTTATCAAAAACAAATTATACCTCAGTTAAATTGATTTGCAAAATTAAAATAATAAATCCCAAAGCAAGAACAAAGTATGACACCCAATTTTTTAAATCTGTAGGAAATGAAGAGGTTCCTAGCAAGTAGAAGTAACCAAAACTGGCCCAAGAAGAAATGGAAAGGCAAGATCTATAGCAACCAGCCCTGGCTGGTTTGCTCAGCGGTTAGAGCGTCGGACCGATGGCTTTCGGTTTGATTCCGGGTCAAGGACATGCACCTGGGTTGCAGGCTTGATCCCTGGCCCTGGCTGGGGTCATGCAGGAGGCAAACAATCGAAGGGTCTCTCTCACATCAATGTTTCTCTCTCTCTCCCTCCCTCCCTTCCACTCCATCTGAAAATCAACGGAAAAATATCCTCGGGGAAGGATTAACAAAAACAAAACAAGACATACAACAACTAAATAATAGACAGGAAAAAATTGTTAAAGAACTACCAAAAGCTACGTAGAAATTGTTTCATATCTTGACCTACGGTTTCTTAATTTGTAAAATGGAAATTCAGTAACACTTCACAAGATGTTTGTGAGAAGCGAACAAACGTGTTTAGGCTCATACTTGGGGGGCAGTGGGTGCTCAGTGCTCGTCTTCCTGGGCTGCAGCGGGGACGTAAGCCTTCTGATGGTGGTTCTACTTCTTCCTACATACGTTCCTTGATCCAGCCGACAGACACGGAGTCCATCCTTCCCATACTCCCCTAAGGAGAGTCCCAACTCCGGAGGGTGGGGCAGAGTTTTCTGTCTGTTTTGTTTTGTTTTGTTTTTTCTGAACCTAATTGTGGAGAGAAAAAGAAAACACACCTAAAAGCGGGAAACAGGAGACTAAGCCCTCGAAAAGGACAACCTGCCCATGGAAAAAGAAGATAATCTTTTTTTTTTTTTATCTTCACCCGAGGACATTTTTTTCACTTTTTGTTCAGACAGAGCAGGAGGGAGAGAGAGGAAGAGAGAGAGAGAGAGAGAAACATCAATGTGAAAGGGACACAACAAGTGGCCGCCACCCACACGACCAACCAGGGCCGGGGACAAACTGCAACCGAGGTACGTGCCCTTAGCGGAAACCACACCCGGGTCTCTCTGGATCGCAGGTCGAGGCTCTAACCGCTGAGCCAAACCGGCCAGGGCAAAGAAAATAATCTTCTTAAGGAGATATGTCTTAAGTGGATCGGACACTCAGCCCTTGTTCGAGCCCCGGAGTAGGATGATACAGCCAGTTCTGGGTTAAAGAATGCTGAGCTTGCAGAAGTCGGAGCCATGGCATCGCAAAGCTTCGCTCTTCGTATCTAACCCTAAGGGGCAGAGGGATGAAAGCAGAGCTTGGCATCTGGAATGACTACTCCACCCGGGTCCCCAAGGGAAGTTTGGGGTGGAGGGTGGAGACTGCGGAGGTTTGGGAGTGGTGTTCAGGGAACGCAGCACCCTGCCAGGTTGGAGGTTTGAAGAAATGAAGCAGGTTACTTCTCTGCCGGCCTCTCCCCTCTCCATTCTGCAAAACTGTTTCTCTTGGCCTCTGCCAAGATCTGGGACTGTCCTGGGTTTCTGGCAGCTGCTGGAGCCGCCGGCAGCTCCCACCTAGTGGTGCGGATAACCGAGGAGCCTGTCTGAGAACAGCAAGGAGGAGCAGACCTGGCTGTTATTCCAGGAAGCGTAAGTGAATTCCAAACAGCCAATATCATATGCCTCCCCCCTCAAGCATCTCTTCCCCACACTCATGCAAAGAAAAGTGAACATCAGAGGGCCAGGTCAGGCTCAGAGGGACAATTTCTAAGAATCTGCCACTGCACCCTAAGAACATCTCTGTGACTTCTGTGAAATCTCCTCCAGGTGGGGGTACCCGTTCCAAGCTAGGTGACTGACGTTGAAATCAAAAGAACCATCAACGAGGCTCTGCCATTCAGCAACTGCGTGGCCTCAGTTGTCTCATCTCTAAAATGGGAATGATTGCATCACCTCCTTTGAAGGACTACTGTGTTTTGAGAATGAAGAGAGAGAGCATATGTCAAGTGCATCGCTCCTGGCTCATAGTAGAGCCTCGGCCAATGAGCCTTCTCCTGATCACTGTCATTTCACACACAGGTCCAATAGGAACATTCAAGACAACTCACCTATCTTGCTAATTTTCCCCATTGTCCCTTACTAAAAGCCACAGGGGATTTCGGAGAGATCTGGGGCGCTCTGAAAAACACAGTTCAACTCAAACTTGGCTCAAGAATCATTTGTGGAGCATAACTTGGGTACTGGGAGTTAAAGATGGCTCTGGTCACCTACTGCCCAAGGCACTGCACAACATCGTTTCCTAAAACAATGTGCTATTGATTTGGCCCAGCTGGCTTCTGCTCGTGCTCCGGGGGAAGTAGCAGCGGAGCCCTCTGAAGGCTTGTCTGGGCGAGGCGTCTAAGACGGTTCTCCACTGGCTTCCTGGTTCTCACGTTCCTCGCAGGACGTTTATCCCGTGGAATGGTCTACCTTCCCTACATGGTGGCTCAAGGCTCCACGGCAAAGGAAACAGAACCTGCCAGCGATCTTAAAGCCTGAGCCTAGATTCGCCCAGAGTGTCCTCTGCCATATTCCAATGACGAAGCAACTGCGGGCCAGCCCAGGTTCAAGGAAGAAGAGGGACCGACGCCACCTAGCAACGGTGGACTAGCACGGACACACGAAGGGACGGAGTCATTTCCTGGTGGGCATCTTTGGAGACAAGCGACCACCAAGGCTACAATAAATGAGTTGCATGTAGATATGTACAGAAGATATTAACTTGTATGACTTTCCCTGAGCGGACAGTTTTTCATCCAAGTATGTAAGAAACACCACTTACCACACGCCTCCGCTCTCTGAGTTCTCCCCACTGACAATGATTCCAATAAAGCGTAAATTCCGTGAAAGCATCAGATCATGTCCTTCTCCTATGGGCTAAGACAGCTGCCTCGCCAGGAACGCTTCCTACAGACGTCATTCTCCGTGTGAGCGTGTCCCTTTGCAGCTTACCGTTCTATCTTCAGGAGAAGCCAAGGCTTCTGACCTGTCACTCCAGTGGTCCTTCACGTCCATCTCCTGATGTCACCATACACCTTCTCATTTTCCTAATAATCATGACTTCCAGTGAGTTCCAGTTAATTACTTTTTCCACCTAAAATAAACCACATGCTTTAATCGCTCTTACCTTAATCTGTAACTTTATATTTATGAGTGTTGGATTATTTTTTATCTTTCTTACAAGACCCTAAGCCCTATATAGTCAAACCTTTTACCTAGAGAATAGGTCTGTGCCTAGTGTATACCAGGTGCCCCATGGGATTCTGGGAACACATGAATAGTTTCTTCCTTCCAAAACTATTTAGGGCTGAAAGAAGGTCAACCCCATTAAAATGGAAAGAAATTTTAGAAATGTATTTTCCAAAACATTGTGTTTCATTTTTGTCGGACCTTAGAAATCTTGACATCCAACTTAAGAAAAGTGAAATTGTTGGATTCTGTGACTCAAGCGGTATCAGGAAGTGGCCTTTAAGAACCCCTCCCCGGCAGCATACATGACCTCAGGCACACACACAGGGCTCTACTGAAGAAATATCTCTGGGTTTCAACTCCTCCTTAACATTCCAGACCCTCTTGCTGTGTTCCCAAGTCTCAAATTCCTTCCCAGCTGACTCATACCTGGTTATCCCCCAACTCTATCTGATGGATGTTATAGTTGTCAAGTTCATTAGGTTTAAATTCTTCCTGAACTCGCTGACCCGCCTTGGACAACATCTTTCAAAGGTCCGTCCTGCCTCACCTCCGCACCCACACATACCTCTGGAATTCGACTGAATTCCACTACCCTGATTCCCAACATATTTAGACACCGCCTCATTCCGCTTTGAGAATCCCCAAACTAGAAACACAGAGAAGCAACTGGACTCCAGGGATCTTTTTATTCCTACTTTTTGTTATGAAAAAATTTTATAGGCAAATAAAATGTAATGATAAAGTTTGATATACTCATAACCCAGCTTTAATTGTTACCAGTTCATAACCAGTCTTTTCCCATTCCCATCCCCACTTACTTTCTCTCTCTCCTGGGTGGATTTCAGTATCTCTCTCCAAAGGATAAGTACTTTAAAAAAACACACCTAACGACACTGTCACAATTAAAAATGCTCTAGGAACTCAATTGTCAGTAACTATTACTTTTCAGTCTGAAAGATACTGACAATAAAGCACCATAAAGTTTCCACGACTGCCCTCCCACCCCACAAATGAACACATGTACACACTCTCTGAAATGTAGAACGGTATGTTTCTGATGGCATCCTTATTGTCCTATGTAAGACACAGCACGACAGACTAACACTGGCTCCGCGTTGAGCAATGTTCTTTGGCCAAGTCACCATGAACACCTGTAGTCGAGCAGGTGGGGTTTTCAAAGGCTTGCCATGAAGGGGAACCCACTCTAGGGGAGCACCACGGAGCATCTCAGTAAAAGAGTGGCAGGGAGTAGCTCATAAAGGACCTGGGCTTTGGTTGAGTAATTTGGAAGAAAGTGGAGGAAATTCTCTGATTATAAACCCCAATCGATCTTTTCTTTAGGGAGGAGAGACTGGAGGGAGGTTAAAGTTGTCATTGGTGAAGAAGTCACAGTCACCCATTCAGGGACGGAGGAGAACATTTGATGTTTTGTGTTGCACAGTGACCTTGTTTTTGTCTCACTTGATCATGGTCTGAGAGTGACCTCATTTTTTTTATTTTTTATTAATCCCCATCTGAGGATAGTTTTCTATTTATCTTCAGATAGAGTGAGAGGGAGAGAGAGGAAGAGAAATGGAGAGAAACATTCATGTGAGAGGGACACTTCAACTGGTTGCCTCCCACACACACGACCCCAACCAGGGCCAGGGCCAAACCACAACTGAGGTACATGCCCTTGGCCAGAATTGAATTTATGACTCACTGGTTTGAGGGCCAATGTCTTTGACTTACAAGGTCAAAGAAAGCCAGGAATAAAGATAGTAGTATTCGATAAATTGACATTCTAACCACTGAACAAAAGCATCCAGGGCGTGACCTCATTAAAAAATTTTTTTTGTTTTATTTATTAATTTTAGAGAGAGGAAGGGAGAGGGAGATAGAGATAGAAACATCAATAAGAGACATTGATTGGCTGCCTCTTGCATGCCCCCCACTGGGGATCGGGCCCACAACCGGGGCATGTGCCCTGACCGGGAATCAAACCTGTGACCTCTTGGTGCAGGGTCGACACTCAGCAGGCCGGGTTAGAGAGAGTGACCTCATTTGCTGTAGCTATTATATAAGATTGTTTCTGTACAAGAGGAGAACAAAATGACACTATGAGCATCAGACCAGCCTGTAATAATCTTGACGTCTAGCTGCAAACATCAAATCTCTTCTGGAAGTCAGGAGTTACTTTTTCCTTTCTCATTACCCTACCATTTCCTAGGGTATATACGTTTATCGAATACTACTATCTTTATTCCTGGCTTTCTTTGACTTTGTAAGTCCACTGCTTTTTCTAGATCATTTTTATCACTCATTACTTATTAGTGTGTGTGTGTGTGTGTGTGTGTGTATGCGCGTGCGCGTGTGCGTTGGGTGTTTTCTATTACACTACCTTCAACTGTTTAAAAACTTCCTTAGATCTTTTTTCTGAAGAGAAAAAATAAATTCCTGTTCAAATGAATGTTTGAAAGTGTAAAACTAGTCCTACTGTTTATTTATTGTCAACCACTCCAAAAGCAAACTCATTTTAGGTGGGTATTCAACAGCATGTACCAGCACAGGGCAGGACCAGGCTATATTGCGATCAATACATTCTGTTAACAAGGGCAATTTTCTCAAACGTCTTCCCCTCACTGGGACCCTCAATATGAAGTATGTTTTACTTGGTAAAAAGTGCACCACAAAATACACACCATGCATACACCTTACTAAACTCAAAATTCTATAAAACAGTGCTTATTCTTAGTCATTGTGATATACTCCGATATTTTCTATTTTATTTCATTTAAAAAATTAAATATTGACATTCTAAATTGATTTCATGACCTCCTAATAGAACTCAATTTGCAGTTGAAAAACTGCCTTGATGCTAGAAGTTACTTTGCACAAAATGAAATATCTATAATACTTCTTTGCTTTGATATTGATATTGATATTGATATTGATGTTGCTGCTGTTTTTTAAACAACAGGTGTTTTGTAACAAGCATTTAAATATTGTTCCTGCCTAAAGTGATGGGAATCAGGTTGAATGGCATCGAACACAACAAATGATGTGTGGAGCAGAATCTTGGTCCTGTCTCTCGGTACCATTCTGGCTACTCTCGTGCAGAGATGGCCTGTGTCGGGAGCGTGTCTCCAGGCCTGTTATCAGCAGAGAAGAACCCATTCAGCACTTGGCAGGAAGAATGGCCTCTCTTCCTCCTTACCAACAGCCCGGCTGGAGGGTGTGTGGAGGATGACCTTGGAGACCTATCAAACCAGCCTCTTTTCTTGCTGACTTCCCATTTGCACCCCCATCGCTGTCAACATCATTCTTCATTGCTCCCTGGCTTTTTCATTTGCCATAGAGAAGAAAGGACATTTACCTAGACAGAGTAAATGAGATTCTGAATGGAAATGTTAAACTCACCACTGCCCAGATGGTGCGGCTCAGTGGTTGGGCATCGACCCTGCACAAAGAAGTCGCCAGTTTGATTCCCGGTCAGGGCACATGCCCAGGTTGTGGGCCCATCCCCAGTGGGGGGCGTGCAGGAGGCGGCCAATCGATATTCTCTGTCATCAATGTTTCTCTCTCTCTCCCCCTCTCCCTTCCTCTCTCTCTAAAAATTAATAAAGGAAAAACTTTTTTTAAAAAATAAAATGACCTCACTATCAAAAGCAGACATAAAGTTGACTTTGAACATCAAGAGCTGAGAGATCGGGACATTTATTCATCAACAACAGATTAGAGACTGAAGGAGAACAGCGTAGCAGGACTGGCTGAACACGTCGGGATGGACAACCTGGGTGGGGGAGGGGGGTAACAAAGGAGCAGCTAGTACTACGTTGGAGGTTGGTGGAGCCCGCGGCGGGAAGGACCTGAGCAGAGAGCACCTTGGCGGAGCGGAGCAAGCATCAGCGCTGCCAGCCCTGCCGAGGCGGGCACTGTCCTTCACGGGCACACTGCCGAGCCAGGACCCTCCACCGCACACTGCCGTTCACTCGAGGAAAGCAGTTAGTCCGCGGATAACTAAATGTTCTGACGAAGCCCGGTTCTTTTAGCTGCTATAAAAACCAAGGGCTCCTTAGAAGGGAAGGAATTCTGACACTTGCTACCACCTGGATGAACACTGAAGACATCCTGCTAAGTGGAAGCAGCCTGAGCCCAATGCGCGAATATTTCTGATGCAGTGATAGGAGGTGCCGAGAGCAAACGCATGGAGACAGGGGGTAGAATGGTAGTTACAGGGGTCAGGAAGAAGAGGGGGATTGGGAGTTAGTGCTTAATGGGTACAAAGTTTCAGCTGGAAAAGATGGAAACAAGTCTGAGATGCAGTGACGGCTGCAAAACAATGTGAATGCATTGAATGCCTCCGAACTGTACATTTAACAACGGCTAATGTGGCTCAGTGGTTGAGCACTGACCCATGCACCAAGAGGTCACCGGTTTGATTCCTGGTCAGGGCACATGCCCAGGTTGTGGGCCCGATCCCCAGTGGGGGGCGTGGAGGATGCGACCAATCGATGTTCTCTCTCATCGATGTTTCTCTCTCTCTCTCTTCCTCTCTCTGGAAAATCAATAAAGAAAAAAAATTTTTTTTAATGGCTAAAGTGGGGAGGCTACTGGTCAAGACGGCAGAGTAAGTAAGCACTGTGCTCACCTTTGTTCATGACCACATCAAAATTACAACCAAACTACCGAACAACCATCATTCAGAACCACCTGAAGAAGTTCTACAGCAAAGGCTATAAAGAAGAAGCCACATTAACACTGATAGGAGGGGTGGACACTCAGAACAGGATGGTTGCAAACCCACAGGTGGCAGTTAAAAATCAGGAGGGATACCTTAGCTGCAGAGGTCCTCCCTGAGAAGCAAGGGGTCCCAGCCCCACCCCAGGCTGCACAGCGCAGGGTCGCAGTGCCAGGAAGAGAAGGCCCCATAACTTCTAGCTGTGGAAACCAGCAGAGACTGTGGCTGAGTGAGACAGAGGCTGCGGGAGTCCCAGGAATTTCTCTTAAAGGGCCCACGTGGACTTATTCGCACATGGACTCACCCACTCTGAAGTCCAGCACTAGAGCAGCAACTCAACAGGTGTCAGGGACATGCAGGGAGGCACTGAATTATCTGGCTTAAGAACAAGGGCTGGAAGGGCAGCTTTCTCTCAGACCAAGTGCTGGCAGAAGCCACTGTTCCTTGGCTGAGCCCTCCCTCTGCAGACACCATACCTGAATCCCATCAAGCTGGTTAGCACTGTCCACCCTGCCTGCCCTGGGGATTCCCCGAGACCTCACCCAACCCAAATTACCAGCGCTCCCCAACCCCTTCCAGTGGCTTTTCCATACAAATGGCCTTGTCTTGTTTCATGCTTTGAACTTTTCTAAACACTCTCAAAGGCTCACAAACTACAAACAAGCATCATCTTGTCTCTAGAGTGTCCTGTACCTGTTGCTAAGCAGCCCCAAGTTAACAACTAGCGGCAGCCCATCAGCAGGCAGCTTAGCTTCTCCCAGGTACGTGCAAGCCCAGCACAAGCAGCAACCATCTGAAGGTTGCTTTGTGGCTCATGCCAAGTAGCTGTCGGCAAGGCACAAGCAGTGGCTGGTTCTGGCCTGCATGAGAGCCCGTCCCAAGAGGCTTTAGAACCAACACGCCCACTGGCCAGCTTCAGACCACACCAGAGCACCACTCAACCACCCCCACAAATGCTACACCCAAAAGGAAGAATTGGCACCAGAGCCCCACTCACGTGAATCCTGCTCCACAGGCGTAGGCCCCGCATAGCAGCTCCTCCACGATCGTCACAGGCCGTTCTCACAACTAATCAGAATGAGGATCCATCCCACTCACTGACATGCCAACAGCGATCAGGGCTCAACTACAACAGGAGGGCACACACCACAACACAAAGGACACACCTAGAGCACCCAGTCGGGTGACCAGAAAGACTGCACCACTGGACCTCATAGGACACCTAGTACTTAAGGTCACTTTACCAAGATCAGGAGACCTAACCGCTCTTCCTAATACATAGAAACAAACATGGGAGGTAGCCAAAATGAGCAGACAAAGAAACATGTCACAAATAAATAACAGGAAAAATCTCCAGGAAAAAACTAAATAAAACGAAGACAAGCAATCTGCCAAATGCAGAGATCAAAGCACTGGTTATGAGGATGCTCAATGATCTCAGCAAGAACTTCAACAAGAAGATAAAAATGGAGATAGAAAACATAAAAAAGAACAAGTCAGAAATGAAGAATACAATATCTGAAATAAGAATACATTACAGGAAATCAACAGTACAGTAGATGAAGCAGATGATGAAAACAGCAATTTGGAAGATAAAGAAGCAGAAAACACCCATTCAGAAGAGCAAAAAGAAAAAAGAACCCCAAAGATAAGGATAGTTTAAGGGGCCTTTGGGGCAATGTCAAATATACCAATATTTGCATCATAGGGGTACCAGAAAGAGAAGAGAGAGAGCAAAAAATTGAAACACTATTTGAATAAATAATTATGGAAAACTGTCTTAACCCTGCAAAGGAAACAGACATACAAGCTTAGGAAATACAGAGAGTAGCAAACAAGATGAACCCAAACAGGCCCACACCCAGACATGTCATAATTAAAATGCCAAAGGGTAAGCAAGAGAAAAGCAGTTAGTGACTTACGCAAGAGCTCCCATAAGATTGTCAGCTGATTTCTCAACAGAAACTTTGCAGGCCAGAAGGGATTCATTGGCATGAAATATTCAAAGTGATGCAAAGCAAATACCTACAATCAAAATTACTCTACCCAGCAAAGCTATCATTTGGCATCAAAGGAGAGATAAAGAGCTTCCCAGACAAGAAAAGCTAAAGGAGTGCATCATCACCAAACCAGTATTATTAAAAATATTAAGGGATTTCTTTAAAAAGAAAAGATAAAAATATGAATAATAAATTGACAATAATTACTTTAAATGTAAGTACATTGAATGCTCCAATCAAATAGTATAGGGTGACTGAATGGATAAGAAAATAGGACACTTTCATATACTGTCTACAAGAGACTCCCTTAAGATCAAAAGACACACACAAACTAGAAGTAAAGGGATGAAGAAAGATATTTCATGAAAATAAAAACAAACAAACAAAAAAGCTGGGGTAGCAATACTTACACCAGACAAAATAGACTTTAAAACAAAGGCTATATGTAACAAGAGACAAAGAAGGACCCAGCAATTCCATTTCCATGTGTTTGTCTGAAGAAACCCCAACACTACTTTGAAAAGACATATTTATTCATATGTTCATTGCAACATGATTTACAGTAGCCAAGATATGAAAGCAACCTAAGTGTCCATCAATAGACAAATGGATAAAAAAGAGGTGGGAGATATTTTTATAGAGAGAGAATATTACTTGGCCATCAAAAAGCATGAAATCTTACCACTTGTGACAACATGGATAGACCTAGAGGTTATGATGGTAAGTGAAGTGAGTCAGACAAGACAAATGCCATATGACTACACTTACAGGTGAAATCTGAGAAACAAAATAAACAAACAAAACAGAAACAAACTCATAGATACAGAGAACATTTTTATGGTTGCCAGATTGGGGAGGAGATTGGTATAGGATTAAAAAGCAAAAAAATGCCCTGACCACTTTGGCTCAGCGGTTAGAGCGTCGGCCTGCGGTCTGGAGAGACCCGGTTCGGTTCCCGCTAAGGGCACGTACTTCGGTTGCAGTTTGTCCCCGGGCCTGGTTGGTCGTGCGGGTGGCAGCCACTCAATGTGTCCCTTTCACGTTGATGTTTCTCTCTCTCCCCCTTCCTCTCTCTCCCTCCCACTCTATCTGTACAAAAAATGGAAAAATATCCTCGGGTGAGGATTAAAAAAAAAAAAAAAAAAGCAAAAAAATATTTGTTGAATGAATTAATAAGGAGACAGAAGATAAGTAAATCAAATATAAAGTAGGAAGGGATAGAACTGGGGAGAAAGAGTGTGCAGTTTGAATTCAGAGTCAAGGAAGATTTAAGTAAATGTGTTCGTGTGTGTGCATGTGTGTGTGGAGGAGGCAGGGAAAACCAGAGAATGTTCCAAGTAATTACATTTCAAAAATATGTACTGGAGAGGTACATATTATACCTAAAGCACATTCGTCTGTGATGTTTTGCGCATTTTATTTACAAAATTATATTTTAAATGTGAATAAGTCTTTCCGTGATGACACATAAATCAAACATTCTTCTTTCGGTCTGCATTCCTGTTGAGATCCAACGGAACATAGTTGTTTAAAAATAGTTTCCAAACTTTTGATTTTTGTAAAATTATGATATGAGACATAATGTAACCCATGTGAAGCACTGAATGGAATTCACAAGGCTTGAGTTGGCCCTGGCTGGTGTGGCCCTGTGGTTGGAGCATTGGTCCACGCACCGAAGGGGCTTGGGTTCGATTCCCGATCAAGGGCACCTACCTGGGTTGCAGGTTCAATCCCCAAGCCTGCTCAGTGTGCATTTGGGAGGCAACCAATCGATGTGTCTCTCTCACATCGATGTTTCTCTTTCTTTCTCCCCCTCCCTCCCTTCCACTCTCTCTAAATCAATGAAAAAAATATTTTCGGATGAGGATTAACAAAAAATCGGCTTGAATTCAAGTGCTGCATTTGTGTGGCCTTGAATTAATCATTCTGTCACCAGGTTCCCTCATGTCATCTACAATATACTGGTCTGAGCTAGATGACTTTCTGGTTCCATCAGCCTGTGATTCCAAAGCACAGAATACTCATATATATATACATACACACACACACACACACACACACACACATATGTATATATATACATATATACATATATAAAATACTCCTTCTTTCTTCTAACTTTTTTTTTTTAATCCTCACCCAAGGACATTTTTCCATTTTTGTTCAGATAGAGTGGGAGGGAGAGAGAGGAAGAGAGAGAGAGAGAGAAACATGGACACATCAAGTGGTTGCCTCCCACAACCTTAACCAGGACCAGGGACAAACTGCAACCAAGGTACATGCCCTTAGCGGAAACCGAACCCAGGACTCTCTGGACCACAGGCCAACGCTCTAACTGCTGAACCAAACAGACAGGGCGTCTTTCTTCTAACTTTTTATCGTAGAAAGCTTCAAATATGTATAAAGTAGAGAGGATAGTAAAAAAAAAAAAAAAAAAAAGTAGCCATCACCAGCCCTGGGCAGTGGGCTGAGCCTCTACACCCACGTACACTGGTGGCTAATTTGAAGCAAATCCCTAGACATCGTTTTGTTTCATCCGGTTTTTCCTTACTGGGTGTCCTCAGTTTTGGATGAATATTGATTTTAACGCTTGAGATTTCCACATTCCATCAAAATAAGCATGACACCCACGGTTACCAGGGCAACGCAGCAGGTACGATCAACACAACTGCGGTTTCTAATTCCAAGGGTCATGCAGAGGCTCTGCTCCCCTCCTTGGCGATTTTGAAAACGTCAGTTTACATTCCAATCACTCTGAACTTGGACTATTTTATCTGATCTCCAAGTTGTTGGGAGCGGTCTGGAGTTGTAGGAGCCTGGGCCCCGCATGTCCTGGGGGTCGCCCAGGTTGGCGCCCACGCGAGGCCCCTGCCCCGGGCGCTGCGGCGCTCACTGCTTGCCTCTGGGCTGCTCGTTTGGCTTGTTTCCGTCTATAAAATAAGCAAAATGAACCTTGCCTACATCCAGTCTCTCTCTTGAGACTCAGCCGTTGTCAAAGACACGAGCCGCAGCACCTGCGGAGGGTGGAGGGGTCCCGCTGGCCTAGCCAGGCCACCCTGCCCCCAGCCAACCTGCCGGCTGGCCCAGGACCCGGAGAGGCCGGCGAAGGGGCGAAGAACAGCAGGTGTATTCACAGTGAAAAGGACTTACTGCTTCAAAACTGAGTTTGCGGGTGGTTCGTTACCCCCACGTACTGATACAAAGACAGTGGGTCATCTCTAATCCTAATGTTCTTCCAACAAAACCAACATTTATTTTATTCTTTTTATTTATTTATTTACTTACTTACTTATTTATTTTTATCCTCACCCGAGGACATTTTTCCATTTTTTTGTTCAGATGGGGTTGGGGGGGAGAGAAACATCGATGTGAAAGGGACACATCGAGTGGCTGCCACCTGCACGACCCAACCAGGACCGGGGACAAACTGCAACCCAGGTACGTGCCCTTAGCGGGAACCGAACCCGGGTCTCTCCGGACCACAGGCCGACGCTCCAACCGCTGAGCCAAACAGGCCAGGGCTTATTTTTATTTTTTTAAAAACCACTACGCTGTATACCTGAAACTAATACAAAATAATATCGAATGTAAACTGTAATAGGGAAAAAAAGAAAGTTCAGCCAATGTCCAAGCCCGAATGAACCAGAAGCTCACAACCGGGGTGCAGAAGAGCACTGGGGGCCAGAGGCACCCCCCAAACCAACATTTAATACACATGACAAAGTCCCTTGTATGTGTTTCTGCAGTTTACTTTTACCCAGGTGGGGGAGGGGGAGGAGGAGGAGGGAGAGGAAGGAGCCGGGTGGAGGAGGGGGAGGAGGAGGAGGCAGAGGGAGAGGAAGGAGCCGGGTGGGGGAGGGGGAGGAGGAGGAGGCTGAGGGAGAGGAAGGAGCCGGTGGGGGAGGGGGAGGAGGAGGAGGCTGAGGGAGAGGAAGGAGCCGGTGGGGGAGGGGGAGGAGGAGGAGGCTGAGGGAGAGGAAGGAGCTGGTGGGGGAGGGGGAGGAGGAGGAGGCTGAGGGAGAGGAAGGAGCCGGTGGGGGAGGGGGAGGAGGAGGAGGCTGAGGGAGAGGAAGGAACCGGGTGGGGGAGGGGGGAGGAGGAGGAGGTTGAGGGAGGGAAAGGAGGGGGGGAGGGGTGGAGGGGGGTGGAGGGGGGGGAGGCCCAGGGCGCAGCAGGGTGTTGGAGCGGGCAGCTGGGCAGGTGCCCGCAGGGTGCTCTTCTCCCGCAGGGCAGCAGCCGCAGCCCCGGCCCAGGGCTCAGGGCAGGTGGACTGGAGTCCTGGGACAGCCACTTGCTGGCTGTGTGACCTTTGGCAACTCTTTTGACCTCAGCCCTCACCCATTTGAAAACAGATGGCTGTACTAACAGCTCTAATAGCTCACAGAGAGACGGTATGAACACACCTTGATGAGAAAG